AAGGCAACTCGCCGGGGCATCGTTTTTGGATGAGCTGGTGGGGTTACCAGAAACGGCTAGAATTGCATCGCTCCTGCAAAAGTGTGCAGGGACACTACGCAACGCCGATGAACGCCGTGGAAGAGCCCGACGCACGCTGGGACATTGGATATATCGGGTTCCTTAATGCCTCGAACGTCTGTGAGGCCGTAATGAACCATCAACCCACAATCTGAAGCCACGCGCGTACGCAATCTCATCATTCTCGCCCCGGAAATGCCCCAGGAACGCGCAGGGACACTGCGCAAAAGCAAACACAACAAACATCACGCCCATGACTGCTGCGCAGGACCCCGACGTTCAACATCGAATGGTGACATCGGATCGAATCGGCATGTGCATCGCATCGGGCTTCATCGACACAGCCGAGCCCGAGTCGGATCGGCTCCGCCGAGATGCGCAGCAACGCCATGCGCACACTGGGCCGACTCGCATCGCCGGGGCATCGGAAGCAGACCGGATCGGGCTGGCCAGAACCGAGAATCCACTCGGGCCGATGGTATCGAGACGGGCCCTGCAGAGGGGAGGGCCGGGGGGGAGACTGTTTGGGAGTGCGAGGGGGGATGGGGGAGGGGAGGGGGGAGGGGAGAGGGGAGGGGGGAGGGGGGGGGAGGAGGGGGGAGGGGAGGGGGAGGGTAAAGGAGGGAGGGGAGGTGGGAGGGGAGGGGGAGGGGAGGGGCAGGCGGGAGGCGGTCCGCCGTCGAAGTGTCGCCGGGGCAGCGTGGACGGGGCGACCGGGCGCCGCGGGGTGACAGGCAGGGAGGGCGAGCACGGCGGTGGCACGGAGCAGCGCGGGGCGAGGAGGAGGGGGAATGATCAGCATCAACCTCGCCATCATCATCCTGCTGGCGCTCCACCTCCTCCCCCTCCTCCTCCCCCTCCTCCTCCTCCTCCTCCTCCTCCTCCTCCTACTCCTCGTCCTCCTCCTCATCACCTCTCCCTCCCTCCGACCGTCGCAGCTCCCCGCACTGCCAAATACCGCCATTACCTCTTCCGAGCTGGCGGCCAGGTGGTCTGGCGCACTTGTGATAATGCTGATGCTGGCTTTGTGCAGCTGGGGATGCCGTGACATGTTGGCAGATGATGGCTGACATCATCTGGCGGCTGCGCTGCAACGATATACTCTATTGGTAACAAGTTGCCAGGCTGCAGCCTTGCTACTGATGTGGTGTGTCCGCCCCTGCCCACCCCCGCCTCGTACAAGTCCTCCTTTCCCAAATTGTTCAGACAGGCTGGCAAGCATATCGGCTGGTATTATGACTGTGGCATTCCGCATAAGCCACACGCCCTCCGGCGCTTTGGCGGGGAACATCAGAATTCATCAATTCATAGGCCCCAGTAACTGTTGTTATTACTGCGACTACGGCGTTGGTAATGCTGAGCTGCTGGCGCTGGCTGTTGCAATCTTGCTAAGAAATACGTTATTGGCGACTGCTCCTGGCTGCCAGAGCCAGTTGAGACTAGCATGCTGTCGCTGCTGTGACTTGCGGCCAGATCCTTCGCTGCCGTAAACTGGCGACACGAGCTTTCAGGGCTGCAGCCATGAATCTTGCCAGGGTTCGTCATTCTCCTGCTCCTTCTACTCCTCCTCACACATATGAGCCCGGGGCGCCCCTGGGGCATCGCTCTTGTCTGCGCGCGAAGCTCCATGCGCGCGGGCGAACGCTGTATGGAGGACGAGGGGGAGGATAACGAAATGGAGGATCGAGGAGGGGGGAGGAGGAGGTTGAGGATGAGGTGGAGGACGAGGAGGCGGAGGCGGAGGAGGAGGAGGAGGAGGGGAGGAGGAGGAGGAGGAGGAGGAGGAGGAGGAGGAGGCGGAGGAGGAGGAGGAGGAGGCGAGGAGGAGGAGGAGGAGGAGGAGGAGGAGGAGGAGAGGAGGAGGGACGAGGAAGAGGGACGAGGAGGAGGAGGAGGAGGAGGAGGAGGAGGAGGAGGAGGAGGAGGAGGAGGAGGAGGAGGAGGGGGAGGAGGACGGGAGGCAGGAGCCTCCGGCGCGGCGCGTGCCTCCCACCCCGACGTGCCGAGGAGGCACCCCGCGCCTGGTCTGGGAGGAGGCTGCGCGCTTCAGGCACGGGAGGCAGAGGCCGACGACCACGGCGACGACGGTGGCAACGAGGACGACGACGACGACGACGCGACGACGACGACGACGACGACGACGGGGGCGGCGGCGGCGGCGGCGGCAGTGGCGGCGACGGCGGCGGCGGCGACAGCGGCGGCGGCGGCGACGGCGGCGCGTTGCGCACCCAGAGGCGGCGGCGACGGCGGCGGCGGCGGCGCGCTGCGCCCCAGGAGGCGGCGGCGGCGACGGCGGCGCCCCAGGAGCCCGCCGAGGCTGCAGCCTCTGGCGGCGCCGCGCCGCTGGCCGCCCCCTGCCGCCGCGCTTGCCCGGCGGCGCTGGCACCTCGGCGGGCACCTCGTGCGGCACCTCGGGCGGCTCCTCGGGCAACTCTGGGACCTTCGCCGCGGGCGGGGGCGTCGTCGCCACCACCGCCGCCGTCGCCGTCGTTGTCGTCGTCGTCGTCGTCGTCGGCGTCGTCGTCGTAGTCGTAGTCGTCGTCGTCGTCGTCGTCGTCGTCGCCGTCGTCGCCGTCGTCGTCGTCGTCGTCGTCGTCGTCGTCGTCGTCGTCGTCGTCGTCGTCGTCGTCGTCGTCGTCGTCGTGGCCGCCGATGTCGTTTCGCCGCGTGCGCGGCACTGTCCAGACGCCAGCGCAGATCCAGCGCCCTGGGCGCGGGGGGCGCGGCCACGGAAGTGTCGTGCCCCCCCCCACCCCGCGAGCCCATCAGTCGCCCGCGCCGATCTTGCGCGTGTAGATCAGCATGCTGGAGCTCCTCTCGCCCACGACCTGGGGCGTTCCGGACAAGGGCCTCGCCTCCGAGGGGCTAGGGAATGGACCTCTCCCGCAGTCGGTGGAGGCCGGCGGACGGCCGGCGGGTGTGTGATATTGGTGACTCTGCGGGCAGCAGCAGCAGCAGGACGCCAAGCATCCGGCACTGGCAGGACGCGTAGGCACAAGAGAGCGCGATTGGCTGCTCTCTGTAGGAAAGAAAGGTGCATGGGAGGCGCTGCAGAAATTTGCCGCTGCTGCAGACTTGGTGGAGGCATGGGGGGGGGAAGGCGCGGGCGGAATTCCAGGCGGGAGCCCGCGGAAATTTTGTCCGGGGGAGGTGGACGCCTGCGGACAGCCATCGCGCTACCAGAAGGGTATCCCGGTGGGGAGCGCAGGGGCTTTTCTGGCCACGGCGAGCCTCGTCCACGAATAGGCTCCGCGACCTGGATCCAAGGAGCGGTCGGGGCACCAGAGTCTCCCCTGAGCCCCAAGTGGTTCTCATGTCAGCGTATTCACTGTATGCCTTGTTCCCAGGGCCAGGCGCCTGGATCAGGTCCTTCTCCTCCAGGTGCCTGATGGCCTGGCGAGCGACGGACCCGTTGACCTTCAGCCTCTCGCTGACAATGGCCGTGGTGATCAGCTTCGCCTTCGGGATCTCCTTCAGCATCTTGTCGTATGTGGCCTGATCGAACATGACCAAATTCGCCAGCTTCTCCTTGACCTTCCCCTTGCTCCATTTCTTCTTCTTGGACTTGCCGCCCGCCATCGCGGCCTTCATTTTGGCCTCCTTGGACTTCTGCACGACCTTGTTGGCACCCATCTCAGCTCGGCCTCTTGGGGGTGCTCGCGGGCAGGGAGGTGGACTGAGAGATGCGCGTCGGGTCCTCGAGTCAAAACGGCCCCGGATGAGGAGCAGGAGGAGGAAGCGGAGGAGGAGGAGGAGGTGGAGGAGGAGGAAGAGGAAGAAGAGGAAAGGGCCGACGAAGACACCGTGACTGCCAGCCTGGCTGCACGTGCGCGCGGGAATCGGCCACCGACGCCAGCGGCGCTCGGAGGGGCGGGAGATGCGGGGGGGAACATGGGGGAACGTTAGGTGGGGGCCCGATCGGGGGGGGGGAGAACCATCGCGATGCATCGGTTTTGGGGGGGGGGACTGGCTGCTGCTGCTGCTGCTCCTCCTCCTCCTCCTCCTCCTCCAAGGGGGGGAGGAGAACCATCGACTTGGCATCGGCGATGCATCGCAGATCGGCGACAGGCCCCCGATAGCGAGTCCGCTTGTTCCTGGGCGGGGTGGGCTATAGGACCCCTGTCGGCGATGAGTGGATGGTTGGGGGTCGATGCGCCCCCCCTCCCCTCAGCCAAATCCCACCAACCCTCTGGGCGTAGGTGGTTTAACGAACTTTGGCCGCTCTCTGCTAAAGCTCCTTCCTTTCCCTGCTCGGGGGAGGGGTTTATCACTGTTCCGTATTCATATGCAAGCCCTCACCCAGGCGACCGGCAGCCAACCAGGAACAGTGCCGACCGCCATGATCCCCCCCACCATCCCGATCAACAAACAATACAAAACACACTCTGCCTCCAAATTCGGAGCATGAGCAGCCAACCCGACGCGCCCCCCCATCATCCCTGTCAAAAACAATACAAAGTATACGTTTGGGCAAAGTCTTGAGTCATGTTCGTGAGGCCCGCGAACACTTTGTATGGTTCTTGATCGGGACCGCGGGGGTGTCAGCACATTGCCTGCCGTGCGCATGGCCATGATCCCTGCCAAGAAATAATACGAAGTGCCGCAGGGCCATCATCCCTGTCAAAAACAAATATGCACATCGCGGCTAAAACAGGATCATGCGTGGCCACCCCGCGATCACCATAAAGTGATTTTTGACAGGGACGGCGGGGGAGGAGGCGTATGGCCTGCAGGCCCACCAAGCACAATGATGGGCATTTGTTTTCGACAAGGATGGTGAGGACCGACATGTTTCCCGATGTGTGCTGTCACGTGTGCAGGCGCACCTGACACACTTTGGCTCGTGCCCCGAACGTGGCGCGCCTGGCGCGGCTGGAGTGTGCGACACACCTGGCGCACGTGGCGCATCTGGCGCACCAAGCATGCCTGGCACGCTCGGGCCCCAGGGTTTCCTGGCGCGCGTGGCGCGCCTGGCACGCGCAGCGCACCTCGCTCCAGCGTCGCGCACATGGGTTCGGTGTTGGTTCACGGTAGCTGTCCATCCAAAGACGACCGCTGAACATGCTGAGGCTCGGGTGTTACTTACGTGTTGGGAGGGCAGGTGGGAGTGAGCTAGACGGCTTGCTATATAGGAGGGTGTCTTAACCGCTCCCCCTACCCCTCCCCTGGGCCTGGGAGGGGGGGGGCGCGGGTGGTTAAAGCGCCCAAGATGGCTTCAAAGAGGGCCTCGGAGACCCTAAGATGGCCTCCAAGATTGCTCAATATAAGTTAGGGTGGCTCAAGATAGCCTCCGACATACCTCCTAGAGGCCTCAGGGCAGCTCCGAGACGGTTCCAAGGGCCCTCCGAGCCCTCCAAGGACGCCCCCAAGAGGCCAACATCGTTCAAACACCTGTGGAAAACCAATGTGTTCTGCCTTCTCGCCTTTTCGCTTCCGATGGGCCTTTGAGGCTTCAATATGGCCCCAATGCGGACCAACAGAGCCCCAAGAGGTGCCCAAGAGGGGCCCAAGAGCGCCCAAGAGTACCCCAAGAGCGCCCCAAGAGACAAGACGCCCTACTTGAGCCTCCGAGGGGGCGGCCTGAATCCGTGACCCCCCATGTTTGATGCATTGGGCCCAAGATCGCCCCAAGAGGCATCCAAGACTCCCCCTTTGCAGGCTATTTGCAGGGTCTTTGCAGGCCCTCCCCCCCCCCCCCCCTTCAAAGACCCTGCAAAGAGGGGGCCCCTCTTTTGCTGGTTATGGATCCTTGGGCCCCACTGCTCAACAAAAAGGAGGGGCTCTACAATTCCCTGATTCGGGCAGCTCGCCTGGCAATCGCTCCTCCTACCCGTCCTGGGCGCAACACAAACCAAGGGCCCGAGACTCCTTTGAGCCGAAGAGAAATGCAAGATGGCTCCAAGACGTCATCGCAGAATAACCAAATAAGCCGGGGCAGCAGGGAAATCTTTGTCGTACGATTCAACAGAAGTTCCCATCGTCTCTGCGCTTCTAGTACGCTTCCACGGCGGCACCTTCCACTGCATGCTCCTACACTGCCCTCAGTCTAGCAGCTCCCCTGGCAGTTGCTTCTGGGTGCGCCGGGGCAGCTCGGCCAGAAGCTCGGCCCGTGCTCGCACGCCGTCAGGCCAGCGGCTAACCGGCCTGCCAACATACCCACCCGAACCTACTGATCGGTCGGAAGAAGTGAATAGAAACATGAAGTAGGAAGGCGTTGAACATAGATTTTGAGCAGGGAACAACCGTCCCGGCATTCCTATAGTCCTACCACGAAATGTTCTTAGAACCCCAAAGTGTTCTTAGAACGAAAACAATGTTCTTATAACATTAACCGATGTGTTGAAACAAGACAGACTCCGCCAGAAATGTTCTAAGAACATTTCGTGGAAACCACAAAAAAATCTTAAAACATTGTTTGGTAGGGCTATAAGCACGCCGGGACGCTTCACCACTGCTTGAAGATTGGATATCCGCCCGCCCCCTAAAGAGGACGGAAAAGGTGAAGCCACTCGATCATTGAAGAAGGAAGGCGCTTAAAGTAGATTGGAATCTGGGACTCCAAGAATACCAATACTTTCGACGACCGATGGGCCGATGGGTACACTTTTTTGTTGCGTCGGCGGCTAGGCAGAGGGTGACTGCTCTGGCGATCGGGCATCAGGGGGGCCGCACGATGCAAACTGGGCCGCGGTGCACGCGAGGAGAGGCGAGGATTGCACCGACGGGTACACACCCGAACCTTGCTGGCCTCAGCGTCGGGGTGACCGAGGAGGGTAATTATCCATCACGCGGGCGGGGTGGGAGGGCCGGCGCGTCTCTCGGTCTGCGGCGGATGTCGGTCGGACGCCTTCCTGCGCTGCCGCAACGGGCCTCCTCGACTCCTGGCTTGACCTCTCGCTCCTGCTCCTCCTCCTCCTCCTCCTCCTCCTCCTCCTCTTCCCTCCTCACCTCCTCTCGTTATCCTGCTGATCTCTCCTCCGACCCATGCTCAAACTCACCATCCTTTTCATCATTCCGTCATACTGCTCTTCCTCCTCCTTCTCCTTCTCCTCCTTCTTCTCCTCCCCTCGTCCTCCCCTCCTCGCATCCTCCCTCCTCCCCTCCTCTCCCTCCCCCTCCCCCTCCTCCTCCTCCTCCCTCCTCCTCCTCCTCCTCCTCCTCCTCCCTTTCGTCCTTTTCCTCCCCTCCTTCGCGTCGGGGCGTCGAGGCTTCTTGCCGAGGCGCCGATGTGCCGTGGCGTCGAGGCATCGAGGCAGGGTTGGGCTGGTCTGGACTGCGAGGGAGTGCCTGTCTGGCACCTCCGAGTTTCCTCGCTCACTCTCGTGAGCATTTTTTACTTCGGCGTTTCGACATTGGGCGGAGACGGGGGGGGGAGGGGGGTCCTGGCTCTAGACCTTTGCTTAGTGCGACTGTTTGCAACAGTGCTGCCTCTGGGGGAGG